ATACGGACAGGTTGTGGATGTTCAGTCATCTGACCCTGCAAGAGTCCCTGGCTGCACGCTATGTGGCCGTGAAAAAGGCAACAACACTGACACATGTTGTACGCCTGGTGGAGTTGCTCGGTCCCCAAAGCTCTCACCTACGAACTTTCTGGATGCTGTTGGCGGCCCAGCTGGATACAGAGAAAGCCGACTGTTTGATCAACAGCCTTCTGACACGGACAGCATCTACCAAGGTAAGAACACAGTACTGGGAAGAGTCGGATGACGAGTGTGATGAAACGTTTGATGTAGCATCACAAGTCTTCCCACTGGATATGGTCGAACCCCTAAGCGCATGGCTGAATGATCATGAGAGCCGACGCCTTGCCGAAGAGTTGCTCAGTGAACGGATAGGAGGTCGCAGTGGTGAACGGTTGGTGGAGAGGCGATGTAAGAATGGCAAGAATGCTAGCACTAATGATTTCCTGAAGGAGCTTCTCCTCATCTGGGTAGATCGTTGTCCAGACGCAACTCGTGGTTCGTTGGCTGCTGCTCTGCGCTGCATGGGCAAAGATTCCCTTGCCCACTCTCTCATTACTGGAACGGCTGGTGAACCAGTTTCCCAGAAGAGTGGCTTGCACAAGGAAATAAAAGATGAACACAGTGTTAACTTGGATCTTGCCGTGCTCTGCTATGCGGAGTATAATCGTCACCATGGCGGAGTGCAGCACCCTATGTCCAGTATAGCTGACGCATTTCAATGTATGAGATTGCTGTTCTCCGGTCGCGACCTTCCTGCAGTCCCCCGTGCCTATGATGTTGCCATTGATGTCCACCATGCCTGCGTGTTCAATGTGTACATTCTTAGTATGGACGCCGTCAACCAAGTTATGTTACCAGTATCACTGCAGAAGTGCACCAATATCAAATACCTAAGCGTGGACCAATGCACTGGGCATTGGCGGCAGCTGATCTCCATTATCAAGTCTTCGTGTACTCACCTGAGAACTATCCTTCTTCGGTCATGTAGCCTAGGCAACGACAGCATGACTTCAGGCCCAGATGATTCTCAGCTATCGTGTAGTGATCAAAATGCAGCAGCCGCAGAAGACAACCACACCGAATGCACCCGTGCACCACTGCTCCTAGCCGAAGCTCTTTCCAATGTTCCCCGTCTTCAGAAAATCCATATTGGGGATTGCAGAGGCATCAGTGGAGAGCATGTGAACATGATTTGCAAGGCACTGGGTAATGCATCATGCCTAGTAGTATTTCGACTTTTGGAGTCTGGCTTCCCTCAACATTTCAGTATCCTGGCAGAAAACCTTCGCATTGCCTGGCCAATGATGAGATGTCTGGCCATTAAGGAGAGGAGTAAGCAATTGCAGCAGGAGAAGATATCCGACGACGATGTTGCTGCGTTTGTGCATGGTGTCAATGCACATCCCTCACTCCGGTCTCTCGAGTTGGCGGCCGACACATCCGGACAGCCTCTTACACTCACCTGCCTCCGTCTCCTGAGCAAGTCATCATACAAGAGTCCGCGGAGTGTGAGTTACAATGTTACGTCAGTCGTCTAAAATAGACAACAGGCGTGCGGATGTTGACACATGATTCAGGCGAATTGTGCTATCACTGGATGACCCGACCCAACATAAACTGGGCATAGCTCGCATACCGTATGCAGGGGCGTAGCACCCGCTACGACTGGTACGACCATGGCCGTACCACTTTTCGAAAAGTGTGGTCCGTCCGGAACGTGCAAAACCGTAATAAAAATTAGGATCCATCGATGCATATGCGCATCAGACTTTGACCTTTTTCTTGACTCGTACTCGTAGATCTGCCATGCATCTGCGCATGTCCATGCACGTCTCTTCTGACCGTGAAATTATTCTATGACTTTATAAACTATGCCAGAAGTGTGCCAGAAGTTCCCAGAACGCAGGATTTTGTGTCTTTTTTACAAAATTTTCCCGGGGGAGGTCCCCCGCACCCCCCTCCAAAACGGCCTTCGGCCGCGCCCACTTTCGGTCGTACCACTTCCAAAACCCCTCCTACGCCCCTGGTATGTGGTGTGGTGACCCGATGATGTACCGCCGGCAACCTCATAGGCGCCCTTCTGCATATTTGGACTATGCAGTACATGTGCCTATGACGGCCATTTCCTGGTGTGGTAATTGGACTACGCTGACTATACGAGCTATGTATGCGCTTGATACATGTACCAGCGGGCCAAGTAACCCTTACTAGTAGTTTAAAAAAAGTCTCTACACCTGCTACCGCTTGATTACAACGCAATCAGTCATCACACTGCCAACCTGATATCACAATCAGTCACAGCTACATGCGCATCTTTCTTTTCCCAGCATTCTCAGCTAGCCGTCGCATGATACTTGATCATCTTGCTTACCCCCCCCCCCCTCCCCCGTCTCACCTTCAATTGCAGTGATCGTCTTGCTGCCGGCATGCCCCCATTCACCGGCAGCTGTGCTGAATTCAATCTGTCTCAAAGCACACGAAGTCGTTCAGGACTGTATATACTATGACGATTTGATGAAGTTTTCTGTGTACATAACGAAGAGATGCCAATGCGGTGACTGTGCTCATGGAATAGTCAGCAGAGTGTGTCATGCTACCTTGTTTACTTGACTTGCTTGGATCATGACTTCATGTCCTCTACTCATTTACTCTATACATGTACCTTCTCTCTCTCTCTCCTACCTGAACACCAGTTCTTGCTTGATTTGTTCAAGTCCTGGCGAGATAGCCGTTGACATTTTGGATGTGTGTACTCCTGTCTTAATGTTAATTCATTCAAACCTCAGGGTTTGTTGTTGTTTGTTTTTCATTTGATTTTCTACACTGCTCGGATGGAGCTGTATAAAGGCAGGGTGCAGCGCTGTAGCCCATAGAAAGGAGACATACTCTTTCATGCTATATTGATCTTGACATTATCTTCATTTATGCTAACAACTTAGTGGCAAGATATACAGTCATATATCCCATAATGGCATTTGAAAATTTGAATATCCAGGTGTAATTAATAATTTTTAAAAGTTTGTAAAGTTACCCATGGATATAAAAGGGTTTACTAGAGTGCCGCCAAAACAATCCGGCTAATACCGATACCATGGATAGAACATCAGTGGTATGGTACACGTTCATGGCGGTGCTTCATGGTGACATAGTGGTATGCATGTATCACTGACCGTCCGTAGACTCTACCAGCACAGCACTGAGCGCATGCAGGGAGTCAATAATTATAGTCATTGTATGTGCAGTGCAGCCAGTACCGTCGGTAGTGCATGCCCATTTACCATACACTGAGCTGGCATTGCATTGGCCGGAATTTTTGGCGACGACTGTAGATCGACCATGCAGCTACATTGTAGTAAAACTGCTGACAACCATACGTACATGGACTATGAAGTAGAAGTAGTTGCTCTTCCATACCAACCACCCTGTTTATGTAGACGATGCTGCCCAATATGCATGGGCACGATTCTAGCTGAAATACGATAGCACGTACCTACGTGTATACAGTATGAGTTGAGCACTATTTGCAGCAAGGACTCTAGACACTTTGTATTAGGGCTCAAACGGTCACGGTTTTACCCCTAACGGCTAACTGCTAAGCTAACGGTCGGTTTAACGGTTATAACCTACACGTACATGTATAAGGACTCTGGACACTTTGTATACAGTATGCGTATCGAATGGCTCATCGTCCCCTCTTCATGGTTGTCAACTCCATCCCACATTGAACAGGTTTTGGTCTGGCACATTTTGTTTGGACGTTGGTTAAAAAAACTTCAAAAATAGAGGAAAAAGGAAATTATCTTGTCCGTTCCCAAAGGAAACTCGTCATGACGGCCACTAACACCCTGTAAACCCAAACTTCAAATCAGCAAACAATTACCAAAATGAGCCGCAGCACTGCTGAACGAAAAGAAGCAAATGGAGAGGATATGAGGGGAAATCAAAACAAACTGCACCAGAAGGATGGAAGGGAGAGGGAGGGGGGGGGGGGGGGGTGTCGGTCCACACAGAGAGGATATAAGATATGAGTTCCTCGTTTCAGACTGCTTAAATGTTTTTAGTTGTAAGTCCGGTGAGTTCTAGAGTTCTAAAAACTTCAGAACACAGAACAACTAGCTGGCTAAGAGACCTCTGGTATTAGAGACCGTCTGCTGTTAATAATTAAGAATAGTTTCCCATGCACCAGCAGGTCTGCGTAGAAACTGGACCGGAAACAGCGACCACATGCATTGCGCGACCAGCGACTGACCTTTATAGTCCATGAGCCAAATCTCAGAATCGGCTGTTTTAGCATCGACCGTTGCACCCAGAGAGGGACAAATCGTCCTTCGGCACACCGCTTCACGATGGTATCCTGAAGCGATTTCCACTTGTTGGACAGTTCGAAACTGATCCAGGGAGGTCACAGAAGACGCCAAACATCCAACTTTGCTCACTGACAGCAGCGGCCATTTTCGCCTTCTTCGCTTGATATTTTTGCGCTTGTTCACGGATTCTCATTTTTTGAAGCCATGAGCAGATACCACGAGTGCACATAACGCGGAAACCAGTGCACAAAACTAGATTCGAATTTTTTTGCCGCTGAGAATTATGAATCGGGATGCAAACTGCATGCAGCAAAGTCACTACTGTTTGTAGTTACAATGCAATCGTTCAGAACTGACTTCCAAGAATGTCCTAAATATCTCTCGACATATTTGTTCACGACTTCCTAGGCCAATCGGCGTAGACTGTAGTGAGTAACCTTCTGGAGCAAATGACGACTGCCCCGAGCATGAACTTCTTTTCATCCTGTTCAAGGTCAAATATTACTCAGTTTGCGTTGAAGAATAACAATTACATTCGTGAATGGCCGAACTGAGAAAACCCTCATGATTTCTCTTGGATTTCGTATCCCAAGTTCCTCTACTTGGCTGGATAAATCGCCTCTTTACTTCATCATACTGGACTGGAACTTGTAGATAATAGCGAGCAATGAATTGGTGAGTGAAGTATATTTCAAAAGTAATAACCACTCGATTACTGAATAGTAGTGAATACGTAGAATACTCCAGTATTATTATTATATGAACACTGAAGCTAATGTGACATTACAGTAGTACAATAGGAAGTACGTCACCACACTGTTGTAAATGCACGCGCTGATCCTATCCAACCTGACGGCCAATGCAAGAGGTTGGAATTGGCTATTGATTTCCTAACACACTCATACAGCACCAAAAGCTATCTGTCATTGCTCATTTTCAACTCAACATAACACAGTTGCAAATCACCAGGTGCACATCTTGGCACATAATGTGTGCTGTCGCAGTCCACCGCAGAACATAGTAATCCACAGATAACTACCGATATAACATGATGTCACATACATACATGCATGCATGCCGCGGCGCACCCACACGCGTGCGCACACACACACACACACACACACACACACACACTTGAAGCAGCTGAATAATCCGACTATGCAGTCTCCCAGGCACGCGCACACACACGAACCAGCTGCCGAATCCAACTATACAGTCTCCCAGGCATGCACGCTCGCACACACACACACATGAACCAGCTGCCGAATCCACACAAACACGCGCGCGCGCGCGTGCGCACACACACACACACATGAACCAGCTGCCGAATCCGACTATGCAGTCTCCCAGGCACGTGCGCACAAACACGCTTATGCGCATGCGTGTGTGCCCGCACACACACATGAACCAGCTGCCGAATGCGACTATGCAGTCTCCCAGGCACGCGCGTGCGTACGCACACACACACATGAACCAGCTGCCGAATCCGACTATGTCAGTCTGCCATGACTGCGAAACCAGCGAAGACATACAGTGCATTGGCTGCTGCCAGACTGGTCTGCTACAGGTTTGCGACGCTCTTGAGTACACTTGTGGCATGGCAGGCCGCTCTTCGAAAAGGAAATGTTACAAATACTACACTGAATCCGATCACGGGAGGCCGGCTGTGGTGGTGAAGCAATTCTGAATGCTGTGCGCCACTCTCCTCGCTGCTGTGCAGTGTCGAACCAATATCCTTCAAGATGTAAGTGATGGATGTCCCTTCGGACAACATCACACCAATGCTGTCGGGTTTCACACACACACACACACACACACACACACACACACACACACACACACACACGGCGCACACCTTGTCGACAATTGCGGAATCTAAAACCCACCAACGACCTGAAACACGGATCGCACTGGCCGCAGTGGCTGTGGCAACACCGCGCCCCAACACCAGTAGTAGCCTGGGGTGGTGTCACCAACAAAGGAAAACGCCTAGCACGCACATGCACGTGCGCGCGCGCACACATGCACGCTCGCACACACATGCACACTCGCACACACATATGCACGCGCGCGCACACACACATGCACGCGCATGCACACGCACACACACATGCACGCACCCACACACACAAACACGCGCACACATGCACGCGCACACACACATACACAGCTAATGGTATACAGTAGTATGTTGCCCGCAAAGCAGCCAGGTGCTCTGGCTTGGACCTCCAGCAGCGCTGGTTTCGCCCTCGCTACTTGTCGTCTTGCCCTCTCCAGTGCTGCCTGCAACAAAACATTCCCTTCCGGAAACTCTGGGTGGACCAGTTCTCCGTGTTGTGTTTACACCGTGCTCTGCTTTCACCGGTATGGCATTCGTTGTTCGTATCAACCACTAAGCTCCTGGTAGGTAGCCCCTTACTGGCCTTAGGATGTGGCTCTGGGTTCACTACTACATGCACATCACTGTCAGCAAGTATAGACAAAGCAAAATCAGAGGCACTGGTCTTCTCCAGGTTTGCAATTGCTATCACATGGGTGCAATTGGTGTAGCACTTTTCATGATACCAGCCACACCATTTACTCCTCCCTGAGCTCTTGTGCTGGCAGAGAAAAGCCCAGATATGGTCGTCCTTCTCTCGAGCAGCGCTGACGATGCGACACCAACTTGTAGTCTCGATATTACTCACTGCAGGCTTCTCGTTTTTACTAAATTGGGCGCTGTGACACAGACACAAAATTCCAGCAATATTACTCCGCTGGGCTGTCATTTGCCACTTCGTTGCCGTCAGCTGCCTCATCCAGCACCTCGCTGCCACTAGAAACGTCTTCCTCTTCTTCCATTGTTGTCAAAACAACATCAATGTACACGAAAGGAATAAACTTCAATAAAGTGATCACAATATCCCAAGTCGATATTGTCGTCAACGTCGTCATCTTCTAAAAATAAATTATTTTTCCTCACTCTACGCGAACTCGTGTTTTGCGCTTGCTCATACGACGCACACCTCACCACTCGCGTAAAAATATTCGTTCTCACGGTGGAATTTGGTCGAGAAAAGAAGCCCTCGCGAAGGTCTCTGGATCGGTTCTGGAACGTCCAACAAGCGAAAACGTATCCTTTGTGATGTCCTTGACCAACACTGTAAGCGGCGATTTGTCCATCCGAGAGTGC